CATTCACGAAGATTTCTGGAATTTTCCTCTCCATATGGGTTCGGCTGCTGCTTGACGATTTTGATCTTCGTAGCGAATGTCGTTGAATGCTGGTCGAGTCGATTGTCTGTGAAATCCTGGTACAGTCGTGCTCGAGCATTCCTAGGCTGACTGGGGGGAGCAGTCAGATCGCTGACAAGATTAGTACCAATTTAAGGACCCAGGAAGAATGATAAGCTTGGTGGGCTCCAAGCGGCGAGGTCGAATCACAACGTGATAGTTAGGCCTTCTGCTTAAGTAGTATCACTACCCGCTAATCGTCCATGTTATTATATTATTAACACTAGAATATAAGTGTGGTTAAAAACATCGTTACTGAAAAGGTAAGGTAGCGTGCAACAGTGGGCAAAGCGGACAATAGCGCTTTCGATCCCCAGCGCAGACATCTGCGGTCCCTAGTTATGCAAATATCTTAACATTATTATGGTTGTATTTCACATAATACCCTGCGCCATGGAAAATTGTAGTAGGCAACAAATGACAAGTTAACATTGTTATTTTGTTATTCAAAAGCATTGTTAACATATGAAGGTTTTTGTTTTGACATCAGTCTCTCAGGTACCTAAAAAGGAACAGCCGGCGAGAGGTCCACTGAGTATTGTGGTTGTGAAAGAGTTTTGTAGCTCAACTGATTCAACAACTTCTGAGGCGTTAGTTGGGCAAAATGTGTTCAGACAGTGGCGCAAGAGGAGTGAAATTTTTTTTGTTGTTGCGTAAATCTGAATCCAAATATTATACTTTACGCAGGATTTGATCAATTCTGCGATATTTCTCCTCTATCATAGTTAATTCACCATGATTGAAGACATTGTAGTGCATGATTCCTTTCACCGAAAACGAAGTCATTATAACCATATTAAACAAGCCTCTCGGCGTTGATCTTAGGGATGCGTCGTGTATTCGACTCCATTAAGCATCGTTGAAGGTGAGTGAATGCATATCTGGCCTTTACGATGACTCGTGGTGGCCTACCGATGTATTCAGCTAGTGCTGATATCCTTCTAGACAAGCCTGGTACCAATTTCCCGACCACAGAAGGAGGGAGGCTTTGGTAAGCCTTGAGTATGGGAATTGATCCCATATCTATTGCAGGGCGCCTCCGACCACTGCGCTACACGGGTCCATATTGTAACCATGCACTGATGGAAATATAGGGTCTGCAAAGTGCTTAGAAGCTTCAACTCGATCCAGTTACTTAAACGTCGTTCCCTGTCACGATCCACTTTTCACTATGCGTTACAGAGGGTTGAGAAGTGGATCGTTGTTAATGTTTGAAACAAACGAAGAGTGGATTTCACAACGAAAAACTGGCTTTTGTTGAAGACGAGTGATACCCACTTCACGGCCTCTTTCATTATTTTAACATCTTCCAAATGACGAACGATTGTTGAACTGTGAATGCTAATGCTTCTAAAATCAGCTAAGAACATATTTAAGGGGAAGGTTCGACTATCGACTTCGGATGGGTTGTTCCCCACTGCTGAACGACACCCACGACCGTCCGCCCCTGGTATGAAACCAATGTAGGCAATTTCGTAAAAAGCGCTTGGAAGCAATTCATTAATTTAGGACTCAACACATTTTGAGTCGATAAAGTTGCATTAAATCTCAATTCACAAAGGGAAACGATATTTTTGACGGTATCATTTGAAACTCTCCCAATGGTTTATCGCCTCATCGTAGCTGGGAAGTGTTCCTGGGTGTTGGGCTGCGATGTACAGTGGGGGGATTCGTCTCCCCGGCAGGGTCTCCCAAGCTGAGAAGGAGTCCGGCGGTTCCATCAGGAAATCTGGCTAAGAGTAAACCAATACCGGGATCCACCACTGTCCTGGTATCAAAGTAGCATGGTGGCAAATCTCCCTCTAATCTACAAGGGCTGCGACTGCCTGTAGTGGTGACGACCTGGGCCAGACTTTGTCCAGGCTGACCTCGGGACTCCAGGGAACCACAATGGCATAACTAGCAAATCTCCGAAAAAGTGGAGATTATGCTGAGGTCTGCACAACCTGTGAGGACATGCCATTCAAGTATCAAGTATCATTTGAAACACTCTGAAATCTTTGTAACTTGAGTTATAGAAAAAGAATTACATGATAAATTAGCGAGCAAGAAACAATCTTTAAAATGATATTCAAGAACAACGCAAGTAAGAAATAATTATTACGAAGTACATGTGTTATTTTGACTATGAAAAAACCTGCCACTTATTTTACATCCACCTATGTTTTAAAACATTAAACTATGCAAGTACTAGAAACTAACTCAGAGCAAATGACAACAAAAGCTGGTGGCGACGGCCTGCTGTGTGTAAATCGGTCTGTGAGAAATACATCGAAGTCGTAACGGCGATCAGATTTACTGAAACCAAAAACCTCTGCGTTTAGTCAATTGAAAAGACTAACTAGAAAATATTTCGCATTCTAATCAAGGTAACACAAATTTGTCATCACATTAATCCGTTCCGAAATATTTCTAGAAATAAGCGGATTGTCGTAACCTAACCAAACTGAAGTCGAGTTCGACGGAGATCCTGGAATTGATGTCGCACAGTTAAGGATTTCCTTTCTGAGGCGAGCGAACTGAGCCCATGATGAAGCAGACTGTCGAATATGGTCGAAACATGGCCACGAGTGAGGACGAATTTGCCGCCGGAAGTCATGAAACGACTAGAACAAGCATATGTAATCTATTTCTACCTAAAATAAAACTCAGGCAACACCTCACCTTACGAGAAAGTTCGTATGCACAAGGATTGAGAAAGAAGTCATCCAAATCTTCAATTGGGACGATGTTCCGATAACGATGGAGTGGAGGCATATACATGCGATTCCGTCTCAAAGTAGGGAACATGTTAAGCAGATCATCGGAGTACCTACGAAACTATACTTCATAGTCATAATAAGACATCAGTATACTTATACTAATTTACTAACAAAGATCTGCTGTGTGAAGGATCCTCAACCTGACGGCTTGGCGATTTCCTATGCAGTTGAAGAGAGTGTACAAATCGACGACTAAAAGATAGTAATAAAAATCAGCTTTAATACCGTAGCCTCAGTCATGGATATAATGGATAAAGCATTAGGGTCCTATCTTTGAAATAATGAATAAAGTATTTTACTCTTAACCATTTTGTGGTTTAAGTTACTGACAAGACTAATGCGCAACAAACAACGACGATGAGGCTGAACATGGTCTAACAACAACAGTATGCTCTTCTTATGAGAAGCAGATGGATCCAATTAATTAACACTTTAACTCTCTTTTACTGAATTCGATCCATGTCCACTAAATAATACGTAATTTAGCTATGGACAAATCCAAGGACTTGGTCGTCGACAATATCCACTTACAATCATATCACCAAAGCAAGTCACTATGTCCATCGTCAGCAGATTCTAGTGCTTTCACCTTCGTCGTCTACATATTCAGTACCCCAAATTATGAGTCATAAAGGACCAAATCACCTTGTTTGGCTATTTTTGTTCTTCAATCTCTCCGTTTAAAGTAAGCACTTATCTCTGGCTACCCGAAATCCTTGGGAAGCTGGTGAGGCTGCGAGAGAAATAATCTTAAATTTGTCCACCGAAGAAGTAATTATGTTATATTAAAGATTTTTTGCCCGAGCCATCAACATCAAAACAGAAGTCGCTGGAGGAAAATAAGCGGTCAAGTATCTCAGGATTACAGAGAGAATCAACATGAAAAGCATTCAAAACCCACAAAGAAAATGAAATCAATAAGGTACGGCCGAATCCTGGGATCATTACAATACGTGATGTTATATAGATAAGTAAACACACATAAATTTATGGTGCAATAGAGAGTGAGCTGAGAGAAAACTTTGACTAATCACAACTATCTTCTTTAAGCACTCTAGACATACGCAGACAGAGGATAGTGACTTGAAAGATGAACTCGACAGAACCTTGAGAGTGAAACAGTGGAACACTCTTTGAACAACTAGTTGATGTAATGTCAACTTTGACATCTCAATTTGGAAATTATACTATGTGATTCAAATCAAATATACAGTCTGTAACTCCATTAACCATCAAGGGCCTTGAACTTGAACGTTTGAGAAATATGCGACTTTGTGCATTGAACTCAAGGCACATTCTTTCTGACTATTTCCCTTGTCACAAGGAATTATGACCGAATGTACCAAATGCGGTCCGTGAAAAGCTGCCTCTAAGAATAATTTACAAAAAAAAAACACTTTTCTAACAAGCTTTTCCGCTTGCCTTGGTGAGCGCTAACACGTGGTGGGTTCTAACAAGTTCACTGCACTTTGCACATTAAAGGCGTATACGTAGAAACACTTTATCACTGCGATAGGATGGTAGTTCACCGAAAAAACTTGCAACATTCTTCAATTTTCCAGATTTTGTGGAAAAAGCACAACATGGAAGGACAAGGTAGTTACACGTTTCGCTTCATCAACATAATTTCACAGTGCAATATTCAGCTCAATTCCCACAACCAAAGCGCTGCGTGCGGCGCAATGATCGGAGGCGCCCGCAATACACGCATGGGACCGATCCCCGAGCCCGTGGCTCACCAAGTCTTCCGTTCCACCGGAGTCGGCAAATTGGTGCCAGAATTGTCTGAGGGGATAGCAGCACTGGCTCGATACATCGGTAGGCCATCGCGAGTCATTGTAAAGGCCAAATATCCATTCGATCACCTCTAGCGATGCTTAATGAAGTCGAATTCATCGCGTATCCCTCAGAGGTTAATCACTAATCAACGCTCAAAGCGTCATCCTTCTTTTATCCCACAACCTCCCGGTAGTTTAAACATTGTCCTCAAAAACACTTACGACCCAAATTATTGGAATTCACCAACTTACCACTCTACATGTAGAACTTGTAAATGTAAGCTTTACAAAGTACTCTTCCTATACACTCCATATACAATTACAACCAATGCAATTCCCTAAGGTTCACAATTCGCAATATTTACATAGGCTTCACACTTCTGATATCTAGAGGTTCCCTCTCCACACTTTGGATTTTTGGTAGGGAATGCAGAAAAATTCTACGCAATAGTGCTTGTTGCACTGGCTGCACCTAGTGCTGACCTGCTTGACACTTTGTTGGTGAGCTGAACAGAAGTGAGCAAACATTGCGCGGAAAAATTGAGATAAGGCAAACTGTACGCATCGATTTAAATGCATACTACTCGAGGCGGAAATTTGGGCGTAGAAACGTGGTGTTGAACTCCATTTGTGTCCGTCGCGTGGCAGAGCCACACTACTACTGGAGGTACAGCAAGCGTGAGAAGCTCGCTAGGCTCTGTCGCATGTAAAGCGACTGAGCAAACCTAACGTCTACGAAGATTCTCCTTCAGTTGAAACCTTACATACAAAACATGTGTTTGTAACGGCAAACAACTATGGAAGTAATGGTAATCGAATCATGACCTGGACATAAAATGCCAGTAGCTTCTGAGTTCATGACTGGAGTGCGCTACAACATAGTAAATAAAAGGTAAACAATAAATCGAATAAATTACTTTGGCCGCAGCACTACGAATCCACCTTGACGAAGCGCCGAATAGGCACGAAATTTATGCATTGAAACACTACACTCTTGGAGGATACGGTACCCGTCGTAAAGGGTCAGCAGACGACCTCCGTCTGTGGCATAGGCGTTGCAATGCTGAGAATGCATTCGGTTATTCGGTTAAGCATCACAACGAGCAATAATTACCTCTATAAGATATACTGCTTCTTCGGGGAATAAAATGTGTCCACCATTTTTCATAGGCACTCCCATAAAAGCGAGGCATTTCCCCTGTAAAGATAAATAAGTAAATAAGTTTATAAAGACATCCTTACTACTGCCTATTTTTATTAAAATTCCACATTGAGCAATGGGCCGTAGATAACACTATGTTAGCCAGTACGAAATTCCTGATTAAATCAAATCTGAATCTTAATCAGAACAATCAAGCCTTAGGCGTTTCCTCAACAAATATAGCTTTTACAAAAGCTTTTATATAATTTTGATGGGTAAATTTCACCCTATATTCTTATGTTTACGTCCTCCAAATTTGAGGGACTGGAATAAAACCGGAAAATTGAAAACTTGAGCAGTTTCGATCAACGGAAATAAACCCAAATCGAACAAAAGTGGCTTATTAGATCGACGTTAAGTGTAATCCAGAAACTGTTAACGATTATGCAGTACAGCTCAAATTCAAGAGTTTCGCTGTGAAAATAAGAGCTTCAAAGATGAATAAAGCCCGAGACGAGCCGCTGCAACGATGAGCACCTGGAGTGAAATCACCAACCGAAGTACATCCATGCACAGTGGCTCGAAAGTTCGTGAAAGAAATAGAGGTAAGGTCAAATTAATTATAAAGTCAAAAAGACATCCCAAAGTTATGCGAAAAGAGTTCCAAAAGAAGATCACTATAATGAAGTCTAATCTGTATTTTTTCACGAAAAAAAAAAAAACCGTTTTCTGACCGCATTAACACGGAAATAGGAATGGATTTAGCGCAACGGCTAACCAAAGGAGGAGCACCGAAACAAGTCTCCAAGTGAATTTTGCATCGAAAGAAAATTATCGCGCTTTCGTGATCGACAGATGAAACAAACAACACTACACGAGAAAACTAGCTGAGAGTAACGCAAAGCAAGGCCATCAGCGGTTCAGTGTGTAATGCGTGAGCCCTAGGAAAGAGAAATCGTGATTAGATATCTAGCCTTGGGTCAAAGATATTTCACATAATACCCTGCCTTGAAAAATTATAGTAGGTTAATACTACACTAAATTACTACGAAGGAATCGATAAAGTGCTTGAAAAACTAGAATACCGATCAATAAATGAAAATGGCCGACTATTCAGTATGACAACGTCCGTTCATGAGTCATAAATTATCATACAGAAGTCGAAAGAGTTTACGCATAAAACTTTATCCTAACCCAGATTACCACTTCTGCATATATCTTGGACGGTTTCCTGAGCAAAAAAACATCCAGACAATAAAGACGCAGTCAAAGTGAGTTGAACTACTTCATCGAAATCAGAGATACAAATGTTTATATAGAAGAAACTTCTTATTTAGTAAAACACACTGACAAAATGTATGGGTTGAAAATATTCCTAGTTTGAGTGACACATGTGGATCTCCGAAATTTGATAGAGTTCCATTCAAAGTCGTGTCCTATATATTAAAAAACCTGACACAAATAGGAAACGGATCAACTGATCTCCCAAACACTGCACATTACTTTTGTGTTGAAGTCCGACCTTATGTTAACAGTCAATTCTAAACAACCGAAAAATTACACTTTAAAGAAGAGAACTACGTTGTTCTAAATCATAACACTCATATGAGTGGAGAAGGGAAACTGTATTACAACAAGTTCATGACCCAATTTAAAAAAACTACCAAACGGCATGTCTCTAGAATGGATCATCCACCATTCTTCTGAACATCACATCCTCATAAGATTTTTCATCTTGCGTAACATTACAGGTGGAAAGTCGATAGCTGACTAAGTCAACCAACGTGATTAAGGGAACAAACTTTGTTCACATTCAAAAACTCAACTACTTTAATGCTTTAGAGCTTCCTTCCATTTCACACTATGCAGCTAAATATTTATTGCCTTTGCACTAATTAAGCGCCACCTTAACCGTTTATAATAGCATGCTTACTGTTTCTATTCAATGTGACTATTCAAGTCAATAACTCACACTTCTTTTTGTAACTTCAAAGATTGAATGCTGGCGATTGTAGGTCATATGAATGATGGTATCCCTAAAATACTTGTTTTAATAAGTATGAAGTTCCGAAATTTTAATGAAATAAACAAAGCAACAACTCTAGATGCTACTATCTACCTCAACCCAAAAAGTAGTGTCGGTCGATAACCATCACCTCAACCACAACAAAGTTTACGCTCTTAAAGGTTATAGAAAAAATTCCAGTGGAAATCAGTTGGATCAGAGAGAATGTAACAGCGGTACTCATTGAATTCTCACAAAGAATATTCGCTAAATGAGCACGTAGGTACCATCATAAAGGTGCGTCGAACTTTAATATTAACCAAAGTGCCTTCGTTTTAATAAAAAAAGCAAATTGTTCGGTAATGACCAATCTCTAAGGGATGCGCCACGCATTCGAATTCATCAAGAATCGCTAGTGCTGCTTGAATGCATATCAAGTCTACACAATGAGTCCCGGTCACTTATCGATGTACCAAGTCAGGGATGCTATCCACTCAGACAGGTCTCATAGCAATTTGTTGAACACGAAGGAATGGAAACCTTGGTGAGCCTGAGGCTCGGGATCAAACCAAAGACGTCTGTATTGCAGTGCATGTCTAACCACTGTGCTACATGTCTCTATTCGCTATATGTCTGTATATTTCCTCCAAATACTATCTAAGTACGACGCAGCGATTTGACATATTTGGATACCAGATAAGCAAATATTTCCACTGTAAATAGTGTTCTTCCCACATATCTTTTTTATCTAGAAGAGTGAAATGATTTGTGGCACGACACCCATTCGACCTATTCGGTAATCCAATAATTACTACAACACCTTTCCATTCATAAAAACGCTACCATAAATTGTCTTTCACTTCCTTTTCTTTTGAAATACACCTTTCCCAAATTTTTTTCTATTAAATTTCAAATTTCTCAAAATTTTTGCTTAACAATTCCGGCAGGCTAGCATTTTGATGAGTTATAATAGCATATTATGACTAGTAGTAGTGTCTTGTAGTTAAATTGAATTAATTGCTTAAACATAGGCTCATGAAAAAAAAATCAAATATGGAAATTACTAAAGAGAAGACGGAACTTCGATCACTGTTACCAATTACAACCCAGACCGAAGACTAAAACTATAGAGTATCACTTTAGTTATGGCTAAAATGTCTATTAAAACGCTATGTCAATCACAGTGTTGGAGCCGATAGATCGTTTGTTACCTATAAATTTCCACGACTGAGTTTCACTATATCGTTACCTACTAAAACACTTATGTGACCCATCTTCATGTATCAAACGGATCCTTTTCAGCATTTACTCCATATGTTCCGCTGTTCTTATTTCTCATCCATAGTGAGGTAGTCACATTCTGAGTGAACTCGACGACTGCTTCAGAACTTGCAATCTTGTTTTCTCCCTGACATAGTGAAAACTTATAGAGCACGACTTTCCCTGAAATCCTCAGATAGTCTCGATAGCGCATTTTTAGATCTTCATTACAGGTACCAAACTACAGGCATGGAACGAATGGTGGCTTGGTACAGTAGAATTCGGATTTCCTCACGATGGCCGCCACTCCTGCCACGAAAGCATGGCCTGTTACTTAACTGAACAGTAGAGGACGGTGCTTGAAGCCCAATTTTCTTACCCTATGCTAAGTTGTTAAAGTGATATCAAACCTCTCAGCAATCACGAGGTTGTTAAACAGAATACGTTTACTTCTATACAACAACACAACACAATCGTAGCTATCATTTCGGCACTATCGCCTTATTCGGAGCCTGGAAGGATATAGTGATATGCAATTTACTAGGTCAAACGCTTCAACAGCACAAACAGAAAGATGAAAATCTGAACGATAATTACACGATCTACAGCTTATAGAAGAACCCACCGCTCTTTTACGTGCCGTCCACCTTAGAAGAACGGCCTTTTAGAATCCCATACGGCTGATGACTGCACCATCCCTCATCAAAAAGCAATTCTGAGATACGCAGCTAAATCATGTGTGATCTCGAGTCATTCCTCCCTGCTATCCATTGTAGGATTTGGCATTTATCCGAAAAGCCTCGAGAAGTTTGCGCGTTCGTGTTTTACGATCCCGTGCGAGGATAGCTGCTCTTATATCAAAATCGTCTCCGCTATGCTTTTGTATCCTATGCGTCCTTAGTGGGGTATTTTGTCTTGCTTTTCGTTTGCCATCTAGCTATTCCTTTCTGCGGATACACAATGGTCTGCCCGCTTCGCCAGTACATTCATCTCCGCAGATACTATAAGAAATTAGGTATATTGTACCCGAACTTATGCAATGTCTCCCTGCCAAAAAGGCAAATTACGCAGTTCTCTGTTTCACATAAACGGGCAGATAGGCGTTTACGAACTAACTGATTACATAGAATATCCGGTGGTATTCAAACTATCGCTACCGATTCCTTTAGATCAGCCCCTCTCAAGTATCGTTTTATCGCGACACTTATTTCATCGCTAATAAAGTGCAAAATAAACGGGATTTTGCTTCGGCCGAACCATTCGTTTTGGGGGGTCGCTCTCCTTCTAAACTTATCTCGTAGAGTTACTATTTCGTAACCATTGGAGATGGCTATTTGCCGAGCCAAGTCGTGCGATTCCGGAGCGCCGGGTGGACCTGATACTCTTCGTCGTCTTTTTAGTTCGTAGTTCGTAGTTCGTAACCACCTCTATGACCGTCTATGTGAAACAGAAAATTGCGTAATTTTCCTTAATGGCAAGGACGGTGAGTGCATGAGTTCAGGTACGATATATCTTATCTCTTGTAGTACTTGCGGAGATGAATATATTTGCAGAACAAACAGATATTTATGTATCCGCATAGAAGAACACCCTGTTGGCAAACGAAAATCAAGACAAAGTAGCCCACTAGGGACGCGAAGGATACAAAGGTATAACGGAGACGATTTTGATATAAAAGTCACTATCCTAGCACAGGATGACAAAACACCAGCGCGCAAGCTTCTTGAGGCTTGTAGAAAAATGCTAAAATCCCTACACTGAACAGCAGAGAGGAATGTCCCAAGATCACACGTAGTCTCGCTCCGTACCTTCGAATCGATCGTTGATGTGTGGAGGTGCAGTCGTCAACCATATGCGACGTTGAACAGCGGCTCTTCCTCAGTAGAAGGCGCGTAAAAACGGTGGGTTTTTCGAAAAGCTGTTGACCATGAGACTTCCACTTAGATTCTTATCTGTATGTGCTACTGAGGCGTTTGACCTAGTAGGCCGCGTATTAGTGTACCCTTCCAGGATCTGAAGAAGGCGATTCTACCGAAACGTCAGCTACTGTTGTATTGTATGTGTATTATTGTATGGTAGTAAACGTATGCTGTTCAACAACCTCGCGCTTGGTGAGAGAGAAAACGACGAATTTATAATACAATGCCGAGGTTAATGGAAAGTCGATCCTGAAAAATGGTAACAATGAGACTAATCAAACAGAAATCTCGCCACTTACAAAGAACGTCTACATCCTTTGGTTGATATTCCGCTTGCACTTGCCTTCGCCTCACGACCACAGCGTTCACCTTTCTTATATTCTTTATATGCAAGCTCTAAATGTTAGAATAAATTTACCAAATATGGATAAACGTAACTTATATTCACATGAATTCCATTTTTCTACCGAAATTTTTAAAGTGTTAAATCTAATTTTTTCGAACAGCGCAAATATAGAACCTAGAACTTTGTTACGTTTGCGAATACAATGGCTT